GACTAATGTACTTTCTTACTATGTGTAAAATATATATCCTTATATTTATAGACAAATATCTCAGTCACCACTCATCTTTTTCACCAGAGACTATTACCAAGTACCACAACTGGTCACATACAGACATTGTGTATGAATTGCTCAGGCCTAAGTGACACATCTACAATGCAACTCTATACCTAAGTCTCATGGAACACAGAACAGGGGTAAAGAAGACACTAATGAATCTCTCGATTCTCATAAATGAAGCTCCCTCATGCAACAGAGGGCCAGGAACACAAAAGGTCACAAATGGCCAAAGCATAGAGATTAAGAGTCTGCAGAATGCTGGTTCTTAGACAGGACTCCTATACTAAACTTCACCCACCCAGGGCTCAGGGAGCATTGCAGAAGAGGGAGCGGAAAGATTGTAAGAGCCAGGGAGGAGGCACATGATCATATGGAAATAAGAGTCCTACAAGCTCCTGGGTCCCTGACAGCAATGATGTCAGCATGCACAAGTCCCATGCAAACTCAAGCAGACAAAAACCCAGCACAGAACGGGGGAAATGGACAGCATTAGCTGAATGGTTATGAATCTTAGCTGAAGAAATATTGGCAACTGATTACTGCTAGGTGAGGAAGAGCTGATCTTCTTAAAGTGAGTGACTCTAGATAAGCTGACTAGACCTCAGTAGATGAACGTGCACTGAGGAACGTCTGGGGACACTAACTTGATATATATGATATATGTCTTTTTGAGACAGGGTCTCCCTTTAGCCCCAACTGTCCTGGAACTTGCTATATAGATGAGGATGGCCTTGAACTCACAGAGATCTACCTGCCTCTGCCTGCCAAGTTCTGAGATTAAAGGCATGCACTACCATATCCAGCTATGTATGAGTATTTTTGTCTTCAATGTATTAAGTGTGCCTGTGTTGTGAAATGCCCAAGGAGGTCCAAAGAGGGCACTGAATCCCTGGAACTAGAGTTCCAGTTGCTAGCCACCATGTGGGTACTGGGAATCAAACCAGGGTTCTCTTGTAAGAGTAGCACTGAATCCCTGGAACTAGAGTTCCAGTTGCTAGCCACCATGTGGGTACTGGGAATCAAACCAGGGTTCTCTTGTAAGAGTAGCCTCTGTTCTTAACTGCTGAGCCATCTCTCAAGCCCCAAGATTTAATTTTTAAATTATGTGTGTATAGGTATGTACACATGAGTATATAGAGGCCAGAGGCATCAGATACCCCTAGAACAGCAGCTACAAGTGGTTGTGAGCCACTCAGCATGGGTGCTGTGAATCGAACTCAGATCCTCTACAAGAGTACTATGTGCTCTTAAACTCTGAGCCATCTCTCCGATTCTCTGAAGGAATTCTCTTTTATTTCTTTATTTTCGTTTTTGCTTTATTTCTATTTTATGTATTTGCATGTGTTCCATGCATGTATGCAAGTGCACCTGTGTCATGCAATGCCCACAGAAGAGGGCACTGGATTCCCTTGAAGTGGAGTTACAAACAGCTGTCAGCCACTGTATAGGTGCTGGGATTTGAACCCAGGTCTTCTGCAAGAACAGCCAGTACTCTTAACCACTGAGCCATCTCTCCAGTCCTAGAAATTCTTAAAAGTATAACATGACAAAAACTATTTTATGGGATGACTCTAAATTTTCTAAACATTTTTAATAGGATGATGAAAGCAAGTTTATAAAAAAGAGACTCTAAATGCCTCAAATTAATAATTATTACATTTTCATAAAATACCCACAGGTTAAGGACTCTAAGGACTCTAGATTTTAAACAAAGGAGGAAACATTCTCACCAAGTTAATTTGAGAATGTAATTTCCATTTTTTAAAAAAATATATTTTATTTATCATTTCTATTGCCTGCATGTGTGTAAGGGCACTGGTGTCATGCAATGCCCGAGGAGGTCAGAAGAGGGCGTCAGATTCCCTGGAACTGAAGTTACAGAGAGTTGTTACTGTCATGTGCATTCTGGGACTCAAACCCGGGTCCTCTGCAAGAGTAGCCACTGAGCCATCTTAACCATTGAGCCATCTCTCCAGCCCCATAATTTCCATTCTTATCCACAATTGTTAGGACTATATGGCTCAGCAGGAAAAAAAAAAAAAAAAAAAACAACTGCTTTTGACATACATACAGCTTCTCTAACTCTTGTTCACATAATCTTTTTTGAATGTATCTCTGACATTCTGAAAGGTAATAGTTACCTCCTCCAAATGATCTTTTTACATTTCAGAAATTTATAAGCTGTAGGTTAGCTGTAGGTTTGAAAATCTATGTCTTCTCTAACTGTCATTTGTTTAAGAGGATTCAGCCAGATACATGGTAGATTGTGACTCTTAATTAAACAGGATAAAAGTGAACAAAAAAGTATTACTACATCAAAGAAAAGGACAAGGTCAGGGAAGAAGATAAGAGGATTGTAATTTGAAATATTAATATTTTACCTGGCAAAGACAAGGCCAAATAAAGTTTTTCTGCAAATTAATAATCACTGATCAATACTACTACAACCTGAGACATTAGGTTAGAGGTTCTTGTTGTGATCTTAGCGTTTTACAGTAATTTTAAATTAAGTGGCTGGCTTAAATTTTTCCTTAATAGATATCATATGGGAAATAAGTCACATTACGGCCAAATAAATTTCCAAATGGTTTTAGAAACATCAGAATCTAGAAATTTTTCATAATAGAGGATTACAAAAGGTAACTTATCTATGATACCTCACAGTGAAATGATTTTCATTTTCTTTGGTTCCTAAGGGAACAAATGAAAAATACACAGTAAAAACCCCACCCCAGCACCATATACATACAAAACTCTATCTTAAGAAAACCTTCAAAAACAAGCAACAACTGATTTAGTCTGACATAATAATGGAGCATCAATAGATGCTGCTGATTTATAAAAATAAGAAAAAGCCAGCAGACTAAAAGCTAGAGCTTGCTGTACTGCTAACCATGACAAGTCATCTCATTGATCTATGTAAAGGAATGTGGATGAGCCAACACAAAACTACTCCTATATAAATTAAAGACAAAAAGCCATGAAAAGTCCAGGATGTTCTTTATATATTAACATATAATGTAGGGGCTGGAGAGATGACTCAGCGTTTAAGAGCACTGGCTGTTCTTGCAGAAGATCTGAGTTCTAATCCCAGCACCCACATGGTAGCTAACACCCATCCCTAACTCCAGTTCCAGGGGATCAGATGCCCTATTCTGCCCTTCTTGTACACTGTGTGACACGAGTGCACTTATATAAGTCATATAAATCAAATAAAAATAAATACATAAGTTTAAAATATAAAGTTATAGAATGGGTTTTCTCTGACCTAGTTGGTCAGTATTTAGAAAAAGGAAAAACTGAATACTAAGAAATTTCTAACTCAAGGACTTAACTGAGAAAACATCTAGAAACTTGTATTTTTATGCAAACAATATTTGGTTGTGTTACTGGAATACATCTAGAAATTTTCTAAAACAGGGAAAACATTTGACTGAGGAATCCATGACCTCGTCTCCTCCTTTTCAGTCCAGTCCCCAAACTATAGGCTGAACATCACTAATTTGAAAATTCAAAATCTGAAATGCTCCAAAATCTAAGTCTTTTGGGCTCAAGCATATCACCACAAGAGAAAATGTCTATATCATGAGATTGATTCATATACAAAGTTATAAATATTGCATAAAATTTCCTTCAAGATAACTGTGTAAGATGTATACAGAAAATAAATAAATTTGCACTTTAGACTCAAGATACATTACGTATTTGCAAATATTTCAAAATTCAAAAAACAAAAAATAAAAAAGCCGAAAACATTATCAAAAGCATTTTAAATTTTTACTGTGAGCCTGAGCCTTTAACAGCTAAGCCATCTCTCCAACCTTGTCCCAGGCATTTTGGATAAAAGATGTTCAATATGTATACAGCCAAAATCTCTCTCCCCAAACCACAAACCACATTCCTTTTCTGCTTCTATTTCTCTATGTCCATGGGATAAAGTACAAATTTTATATTAAAACATAAAATACCCTTCATAATCTGATCCTAACTTATTTTTCATTTTCTACCTCTATTAATGAAAAGTTATAAAAGTTATTGTGACACACACCTGTAGTCCCAGCACTCGGGAGGCATAGGTAGTCAGGTATCTGTGAGCTCAAGGCCAGCCTGGTCTACATAGGGTCTATATAGTAAGTTCCAGTCCAGCTGGAGCTACAGGGAGACCCTGTGTCAAAGAGGCAAAAAAAAAAAATTAATGAACATCATTACATCATTATACTTTAATTTACTACATTAAGTCATTTATTTCACAAACTTGTTCTTTTATTAGAACCTTTCACATATTACTGTTTGACTAGATTATTACATTTTCTGTCTACCTATTAAAATCTTTTTTTTTAAAGATGGGTTTCACTATGTAGACCAGGCTGCTGGCCTCAAACTCACAGAGATCTATCTGCTTCTCAAAAGCTGGGATTAAAGGTGTACACTGACATGCCTGGCTCACTTGTCTTTCAAAGGCTCAGCTCAATACTGCTTGTTTTATAAAGACTTTCAAGATTCTATCAGGCAGAGTATTTGATCCCATTCATGTGCTTACACAGACTTTTGTATATGTTTTAACTTATAGCACTATGCTTGTTTGCATGTCTCTCTGCTATAACCAATTACGATTAGAAAGTAAGAAACATTATTAGTATCCTTAGTTTAGAGTACAAAACCTCATTTATAATAGGAATTTTAACGATATTTGTTTAGCCCTCCAATTATTTTCAAGTCATTTGCTATGACGTGCCTTGAAGTGAAATTAATTAAAGTACCGTAAACTTGTGTTGCCCAAAATAAGTTTGAAATATGTTGATTCCGCTTGCTATGTTTATTATTCATTTTAACCATCCACCACTATTTGAACTGTACAGTTATTTTCATTTACATTTAGTGGAAATCCTGGAAAAGAGAGCTCTTTAGTCTTCATATACAGAAATACTTACTTCTATATTTGGTAGAGTTATTGTCACCTGTTCACCTTTGCCAACCTCCAGATCTCCTTCACAAGAAGTATCAATAGAAGCAGGTTTGAAGTCATCTAAAAATGGATAAAAATACCAAGTTTTATAAGATAGAACAGTGTGTTATTTTTCTTGTGACGGTGTCCAGATACCTAACAGAAGCAGGAGGAGAGGTTTATTTGGATAGTTTTAAAGGGTACAGTCCATCACGGCAGAGAAAAGATGGTTGAGTTGTGCTGATCAGAGAACCCCAACTGTAAAAGTGTAAATTTAACTATTTTAAATTAGTGTAATTTCTGATATTTGCACACACTAAAGCTTAACTACTTTTGGTGGGTGGGCCCAATTGAATGGCAGACAATCTTGCTGTAGTTACTGCTTACCAGCTCATTTTGTGACAGTAATAAATGGTATCACTAAAAACAGGAAATTTTCTCTTTATGAGCCCTTACCTGGATAGAAACCATAAAGCTAGCTTTAGACTAAATCCAAAATTAATTCTAATGAGTTGTTCAAACTCTTCTCTGTGATGAGTCATCTGTTGCTAAGCACTTAGTTTATCATTTTTAGAACACAAGTAAATTACATGCATTAGCACTCCTCACACACTCACAAGTAGAACTAATAAAAAGTAATGGGGACTATTCTTTACCATTTTCTAACTACTGTAGTGTGTTGCTTATGCAAGCTTAATCCTTCCAGAAAAATCTAAAAAAAAAAATCACATATGCAAATTGGGGCTAAGAGTTTAGACAGTGTTCTCAAAGTCACATTCTATATGCATTTGGCAAAGGCCAGGACTTATACCTAGGCTTATCCAAAGCATAAAAAAGACAGGCACAATTGCTCCTGTACATAGAGTATTACTTTCTTTCAAATTATGTTGGCTTGCTGGTTTTAAATTAGGTCCATCTGCCCTGTATAAATACAAAACTTCTCTATTTCATAGTTTCCATTCCTAAGTTCTTTTTTTCAAAAAAAAATTTTTATGAGTATTTTGCCTGTATGTATGTGTGTACCCATGTCATACAATGCCCACAGAAGCCAGAAAAGGGCTTTGGATCTCCTAGAACTGAAGTTACAGATGGTTGTTAGCCTTGATGTGGGTGCTGGGAACCGAACCCCGGTCCTCTGCAAGAGCAACCAGTGCTCTTAACTGGTCAGTCATCTCTGAGCCCCCTCAGTGGGTTTTTAAGAGAGAGGGTCAAGTTAAGTAGGAGCCTGTTCTCAAGGATAACAGCAAGTTTTATTTCAATAAACCTAAAATGATTATGTGTCATATTATGACTACTTCATTAAGAAAAAAGAAGACTGAAAACCTTTTTATGTCTTCTGCATAGAATCTAGGTTTGTTTACTTTGTGGTTATTATTATCACTTTGCATATTTTTATGCCATTCTTGTAGCTAGAACAGCTGACTTGGATTTTGAAAATATGATTCCAACATTTTAAGAACCTTTATAAAGTTGAGGGTATAGTTCAGTGTTACACTTGCCTAGTATATGCAAGGCCCTGGGGCCAATTTCCAACACTGCAATCAATCAATCAATCAATCAGTCTTTTTTAATATTTTATTATTTTTATTTTGTGTGTATGCATGTTTTGCCTGCATGTAGGTAAGTGCACCCATGTCGTGCAATGCCCACGGTAGACAGAGAGGCTGTCCGATCCCCTGGAACTGGAGTTATGGACAGCTGTTAGCTGCCATATGGGTGCTGGGATTCGAACCTGGGTCTTCTGCAAGAACAGTCAGTGTTCTTAACTGCTGAGCCATCTCTCCAGCCCCTCAATCAGTCTTCATACATGGAAGTTTTTGAAGCACCTGCAAGGCACTTTTCAGAGGCTATATTTTATTTATTTGATTTGAGATTTGTGGCTGTTAGAGGAGAATGTATACGTGTTATAAAATATATATTTTGAACAAAATTTTGTAATTTTAAGCCTGGTTACTTGAAAAAGAAAAGATTACTGCATCCTTGAGAAGGAAGTGGAAAAGGGCATACTACTTAAGAAAAAGGCATTGAGAGATGAGATAAGAACCCTATCTTACTTTAGGAAAATGAAACTGAGAAAAAGAAACTACAGGGCCTGAATGCCACTACCTGTTTCATCGTGATGAACTTCGGGTAATAGAGAATGGTCATCCAAGGTAAAATAAACAAGGGATACTGTTGAAGATCTTGTTAGTAAATCTCCCTATTTATTCTAACAAACGGGTTACTTTTGCTTAATAAAACCTCTTCGTAAATGTGGAGGGTTAAAATCATTGGCTATTCCTATCTTTACTCTGAGTTACTATAGATTGTTTACAAATTAAGTAAAGTTTTGGAAACAATTTTAACTTGGCATTTCAGAATATAAACTATGCAAGGCAACTTGACAGAACTAGTGAGAAAGGCAGAAAAATGAGATAGTAAGGAAGGACTGGGCTGGAGAAAGGAAGTGAAAAATACTTTAATTTTGTCACAAAAAAATGTAAGAGGTCATGATTCATTGATGTTTCCTTCATTCTCTAGAATTTTCAGGGCCATCATGCAAAAAGGTTTTACATAAAAACGACGTGATATTTTTCTTTCTGACATCTAAATCATTTAACTGCTAAAACACGAGAACCTTTTTAACGTACTTCCCAACAATATAAAAGATAATTCATTAAAATTAGTTCCAGAGTACGTAAAGAAAACCAAAGGGTAGAAATCATAGGGAGATAAAAAAGCGTCCAAGTAAAGAAATTAGTAAAACGCCTTTCAGTACCTAAATAATCGGTACATTTTCTTTAGCTGGCAACAAAATCTGAGACCCAAAAGAGAAAGAAATTGAAATAGTTGAATCTCGTCCCAAGAACAAACTAAACAAGAACCCTCATCAGCCAAAAGAGAGAAAAAAAGTGCGGTCTCGGGAGCATCAAAGCCTTCCCTTTGCCCTGCATTCGGTCCTGCGTTCCACCTGTCACCTTAGCCTTTTCTCTTCCACTCGGCATCATCTACCTGTCATGCTTCCCCGAAGTCATTCCTGCGTATGTGCACATCTCCCCTCTGGGCTGTCGGTCTCACTTACACCGCCCAGGGTTTACCCACACCAGCTGGACGCCACGTGCCTACACCGAGGACTGGAGCCGGGATAGCGGGTTGCTCCCGCCGCGTCTCGGCAGGGGTGGCGGGGGTGGAATCTAGGAGTTCGCCTCCACGCCCCAGTCCCAGGAGGCGCCTCCCGTGTCCCCGGGGCAGTCCTTACTCACAGCGCACAGTGTGGAAGGCGCAGCGCGGCTGCTTTTCGAAACTTTCGCCTAACTTGAGCACGCGCTCGCGACGGCCCAGGTACGACAGTCCGGTTGGTCCATTCATCCCGGTCCTCGGATGCCCACTTTGCCTTCACAATCATCTGCAGCCTCAGCCCGAAGCGGCAGCACCCGCCAGGAGCTCCCGCCCCCACTGGCTCCGCCTTGCGCCTGACGCTAGCCCCGCCCCTCGAGTCTCTCAATTCTGATTGGCTGTCTGGGGGAGATTGCCCCGCCTCTATGCCCCCTTCCCGCGTCGCGACGCACACTCTGCGGACGCGCCACACTGAGGTTCGCGGTGCGATATGGCCCTCTGCTAGAGGAATGCTAAGCGAAGTTGAGGTAACGGACCTGAGGGGGCGACCAGAAGAGGCGAGGGCCGGGGAAACCGAGCGAACTGGCTTGTGGGACCTCTAACGGGAGAGTTGGCCTCCTCCCCGCCCCTCCCGGAGGGTTGGTGTGGAAATTGATGCCTGAGGAGGGGACAAAGCCGGCTGCGGCCTGTGGCGTTCCCCAGGCCTTGGGCCTGGAACCGCGCGCACGGTCGCCGAGCCTCGGTACCTGGACCTGACTGGAAGCGAAGCAGTTACCTTGAAATGGCTTTCTGACCTTTAGGCACCTGGAGACTGGCCTTCTGGTCTTGGGACCCGAACAGGGGGCGTTCCGGAGAGGGGAAGAGGGATGGAGGCGAGAACCGCGGGGGTTAGGATCAAGCAGAGCCGCGCGCGTGGATTTCTTGGTTCCCATCACAGTGATTCCTGGAGGCTGTAGAGGGCAGGGCCCTAAGGGATGCCTCCAAGACGAAGGCTGAAGCTGCGACCCTGCAGCAACTAGGTAATACATTAAGAATTGGTCAGAAGTTGTCACTTTTTTCTACTACTTCATACATTTATTGGAAAGTTGGGAGAGGCATTGTATAAGAGAATTCAGGAGTTCCCAGTTACTATAGCAGGGGATGATTTTTCAGGGTAATTGTGGTCAGATTATCTTCCCGCTTCTGCCCAAAGCAGATTTGTCCGATTTTTTCCAGGTGGGTGAGTGAATGTGTCTCCCCTCAACCTGTGTGTCTTCTAACCCTTTTAAGGTACACTGGATGTTTTGTGTGATAATTAAGCACCCAGGTTCTAGAGCCTGCAAGTGAATATTTTTTACAGTCCTTTGATGTTTATTTTGATTCTTTTAAAATACAGGTGATAGAAAAAATGAAGCCAACAGGTACAGACCCAAGGATCTTATCTTTAGCTGCTGAAGTCGCAAAAAGTCCTGAACAAAATGTCCCTGTTATATTGTTGAAGTTAAAAGGTAAGAGAATAGTTTTATAATTGGGAAAAATATTAAATATTTTTTCTATCATTGGTATGGTGTTAGCCTCGGTTTCTAATTTGTTTAGAAAAACCTTAAATGCTGGACTAGTAATTTTTCCTTTTTGACATATTTTAGTGACTGCAACATATAAAAATACAAATAACTCTTGGATATATTGAGCAGAATTAAGGATATCTTATTTTCTTTTGCCTTAGAAATAATAAACAACACCCCTTTGGGAAGCTCAGAGTTGAAGAAAATTAAACAAGATATATATTGTTATGACCTCATTCAGTATTGCCTCTTGGTCCTCAGTCAAGATTGTTCTCGAATCCAGGGTGGTTGGACTACAATTTCCCAGCTTACACAAATACTAAGGTAAAATGAGTAAGTTAGCTTGCTCTAGTTTTCAACAATTGCTTGTTTTTTATTCATCATTTTAACAGGATTAGAACTCTCTATGATGGGTTTTGATTGTACTTTTCTTTCATAGTGTATGCTGTTACTTGTAGCTAATTATAATTGATGATCTAAGATTTCTTTCTCTATTGATAATTTCTTTTGCTCACTGCTGAATCCCATGTGGTTAATACACTCCTTACTGACTCAGAAATATTTGAAGAAATGAATAAATTAAAGCTCTGTACTTAAAAAACTTACACTAGAGATTGTATGACAGTAACATACGATACAGGCAGAACAAATTAGGTGCCAAAATGAAAATATGTACCAAGTACTATAGAACAGATATAGAAACTTCATTCTACTTTGTACTGATTTAGCTATCTAAACTATGAACTCATTAGGTAACCCATATCCTGTCAATAAATTTAGAAAGAGCACTTTTCTATCCCATGTAAAAACAGGAAGAGTAAAAGGAGGCAATAAAATATTCTCAGTGCCTAAGCCACTTTCTGATTAAGTAACTCAAAATGTATGCTAACTGAATTCATCTTCTCTAGCCTCTTCCATTTGATTTTCAAAGATTCATTTTATTATTTTGAATTATATGTAACACGTGGTTATGTTCATGTGAGTGCAGGTGCCCTCAGACGCCAGAAGGGGATGTAGAGTATCTAGAGTTCTAGGTTGTTGTGAGCCTCCTGACATGGTGCTGGGCTTTGAAGTTTTGTTCTCTATAAGAGCAGCAATTGCTCTTAACTGCTGAGCCACCTCTCCTGCCTCATCCCATTTGATTTCAGTGAACTATCCCCACCAAACAGATTTTGTCAATATTTATACTGTGTCTTAGAGCCTAACTTTTTAAACTACTTAATCGTATGTTATTATTAGATAAAGGCCAAAGTATGCATTTACAAAGAACGGTTAACAAATGTATATAATAATCTTATTTTTCTTTTTTTTTCTTTTTTATGTGTATGAGTGTATTGCCTGCATGTATGTAAGTGCACCCATGTGCAGTGCTTGCAGAGGTCAGAAGAGGACGTTGGATTCCCATGGAACTGAGGTTATGGACGATTGTTAGCCATCATGTGGGTGCTGGGAATCAAACCCAAGTCCTATGCAGGAGCAGCCAGCACTCTTAACCACTGATATCTACCAGCCTCTGCCTCTTGAATACTGGGATTAGCACCTAGCCATTTTTGGAATTAGTTCTTAATCATCTTTATCCCCCGAAATGTAAAAAATACATAAAAATTCAGTAAACACAAATAATATAAAAAAGAAAGACATACAACATAATAAGTAATAAAAATAAATTTTTAAAGAAAATCAGAATTCTTTAAATGTATTTAGATATAATAGCTATCGGTTGAACATGATTTATTTATTAATGCTATATCAAATAGTGTACTAAGTAATTGAATTTAAAAACCAAATAGAAAGTAAAAACTTGGGGCCTGCAGAGATGGCTCAGCGGTTAAGAACACTGGTTGTTCTTGCAGAAGACCCAGGTTCGAATCCCAGCACCCACATGGCAGCTAACAACTGTTCATAACTCCAGTTTCAGGGGATCTGACAGCCTCTTTTGTCCTCCTTGGGCATTGCACGACACAGGTGCATTTACCTATGTGCAGACAGTACACTCACACACATAAAATAATAAGATAAAACATTTTTTAAAAAAGAAAGTAAAAACTTGATATGTGAGCATTAGCCTGCTAGGTCTTTGCCATGTTAAATATGTAATTATCATTGTTTATCAATATCTGTACATTTTGTTGAAAAGACTCTGACAGTAATACTATACTACTACTCTTGAGTTAGAGGCTTTTTTTTTTATTAAACTACCATACAAATACTTTTTATTACTGATATTTCTGGATATAATCAACTCATCCAAGGAATAGCTTTTATGTACAGTTTCAAGAAGGCATAGTTCTCTAAATTTTTTCATCCATAATGTGTAATGTAACGTGTTCCTATTATAGTTAGATAACCCTTTTGTTGTTTTCCCTCCTGATGTGAGGAATATAAAGGCAGATAATTTACAGATCTTGAGAAAGTGAGCTATTAGAAAGAAAAATTGGTGTAAAACTAGAGTGCTTAATTTCTTATCTGTTCTCTGAAGATTAATCTCACCATTGGTATTATTCAGCTGTCAGAAGCCTAAAATACATCACTTAAATGATATTCGTCAGGGGTATTCTTTAGCTTTTTAGTGATTGTAGCCAATTCACTGGAAACTTAGCTTATTTCCCTTTATTCTAAACCAAGTATCTTTCATTTCCTAAAGGACCAGCATAATGATTTTTAGGATATGTGAGCCCTAGAACTAAATGCAAGCAAGGTTCACACCAGTTTAGTTTTCTAGGAAGTTGTTAGACTAATTTTTGAACAAGTTTTTAATGGACTTGTCAGCAAAAGAATGACTTAAGATTGTCATTGAGGCACAATGTCTATGGAAGTTTGAATATGCAACTGATTTATGGTTAACACAAATTTACACTCTTATTTCAGCCAGTGCTGTGTGGGATTAGATCCGGGAGAAGATGCAGAGGAATTTTACAAGGAATTGCTTCCATCAGCTGCCGAAAATTTTCTTGTCTTGGGGCGACAATTGCAAACATGTTTCATCAATGCAATCAAGGCATGTAGTTATTTAGTGTTTTGTGTTCTGTAGCCAACTCATCTAAATTCTTTTTTTTTTTCCTCCCTTTTTCCTGATACAGGGTCTCACTGTATAATCCAGGATTAGTTTTAACCTTTCTCAGGATAAATTTACTACAGTTTTATGATTAGAGGATTGCTCTTGGTCTACTCTTTATATGTAGTCCGTTGGTTTAAATGGAAAGCTGAAAGTGTCAGCTCAGACCTTCTAATATGGAAGAACCTAAACTCTAAACTCTATACCCAGCAGTGGCAGATGATGAAATTGCTGCTAACTTCTCGAGCCTCTTCTTACAGCCTCCTCTTATATGTGCATAGTTAAGTACAAAATTTAACATAAGTTTGTACATCGGTTTTGGAACTTCCTTCTTTATGACTTACTTCTTTCTAGGCTGTTCTAGCTGCCTCAAACTGTTTATTTCTACACATCAGGCTAGTTAAGACTACAGTTTTTGTTTTTTAAATTGACACATAAAATTATACATACTTAAAGGGTGCTTGTAATTTCTTTTTATTTTTTTTTCTTTCTTGTTTTGATCTTTTTGAGATAGGGTTTCCCTGTAGCCCCAACTGGCCTGGAACTCGCTATGTAGACCAGGCTGGCCTTGTACTCACAGAGATCCCCCTGCCTCTGCCCCCCAAGTGCTGGGACTAAAGGCGTGTGCCACCATGCTTGGCTTTTTTTTCTTTTTAAAGAATACTTTTTTTTTTTTGGTCTTTTTGAGACAAGGTCTCTTGGTAGCCCCAGCTGACCTGGAGCTCACTATGTAGACCAGGTTGGCCTCAAACTCACAGAGATCCACCTGCCTCTGCTTCCCAAGTGTTGGGACTACAGGCATGCGCCTCCGCACCTGGCAAAAAATACTTTATTATTTTATGTGTATTGAGTGTATTGCCTGCGTGTATGTAAGTGTACCCGTGTCATGCAATTCCCAAAGATGTCAGAAGGTGGCATCAGCTTCCCCTGGAACTGAACGGCAGACAGTTGTTAGCCACCATATGGGTGCTGGGAATCAAACCTGGGTATTCTGCAAGAGCATCTAGTACTTTTAAGCACTGGGCCATCTCTCCAGCCCCTGTGCTTAGAATGTTTTGATACCTTTATATTTTGTGTAATGTTCAGATCAGGATGAACAAATCCAACTCTTCAAACATTTGTCATCATGTTATATTTTTATGTAGAAAAGATACTGTCTTGCACCTAAGTGATTATCGGGCAAATAAATTAGGTAAGATCTTAGCTGTTTCTTATGAAAAATTCAAGACTATTGTCTTCTTATTTTTAAAAAAATACAGGAGTGGAATTCAGTATGAAATAGAACAGTATGGACAATATGCTTGCCAATATGTTAAGAGTATAGGATACTATTGGCAGAGGATTTAGCTTATTGGTCATAAATTCTATTTCTGGCATCTTGAGGGACATTAGCACTAGATAAATATTTGCATATTTGCTAGATTTAATTCATGTCAGTGAAGCAACATGATCTTTGAAAACTTGTATTAGAGTTCATTCGTTTTCTGTTTGTGTTACAAATTAACATTCAGTCCTTTAAACAAATTACTTTATTTCACTATTACTCATTTTCTTCTCTTTACACGTGATTACAATGATTTCTGTCTCAAAAATAACTCAGGCCATTGTTCAAGCTTTATCTTTGCTTCCACACACTTTAATAATCCTCCTTTGAGTATTAATAATTTCTTTTCGCTCATATATTAGTACCCATAATATAATTAAATATATGTATATTGTTTTATATATATATTATTTGATATAATTGCTATTATACACTCATTATCCGAAATGCTCAGAGCCAGAAGTGGTTTATATTTTGGGGTTTTTCTGATTTAGGAATGTTTCCATAGCCTTTGCTAATTGAACATACCTGAACATACCCTAATCTGAAACTTCAAAATCCAAAATGTTGACACTCAAAAAGTTTTAGATTTCTGATTTGGGATGGTTAGTGAGTAATATATATTTGGTTCTTTTCATTATAAATATAGTTTTGATCATTGCTATTCATACAGCCTTTAATACTTAGTGTTTTGCTTTATTATTAAATTTGCAAAGAAATAAAAATCATCTATTAAGTTCAGCAAATGGAGTAAATCAGCTACAGAAATAGGGCACTTGACCCACAGGATGAAATCAAAATGGAAAAAAAAAGGTCTACAAAAACCACAAGTTTATTATTAGTCCTATCTACTTAGTACTTTCCAAGCAATTTTTTTAAATTTACTTATTATTATTTAGTTTTTTATTTCTTATTTTTATGTGTATGAGTGTATTGCCTGCATGTAGGTAAGCGTACTCATGTCATGCAGTGCCTGCAGAAGTCAGAAGAGGGCATTGGATCCCCTGGAACTGGAACTGTGGACGGTTGTTAGCTGCCATATGGGTGCTGGGAATCGAACCCTGGTCCTCTGCAAGAGTAGCCAGTGGTTTTAACTGCAGAGCCATCTCTCCAGCTGACTTACTTATTTTTATTTTGTGTATGAGTGTTTTGCTTACATGTATGTAAGTACACCTTTGCTGTGAAATACCTGTGGAAGCTAGAAGGGGACATCCCTTGGAACTAGAATTATGAATAGTTGTTGGCTGCTATATGGGTGCTAGGAACCAAACCTGGGTCCTCTGCAAGAGCAGCCAGCGCTCTTAACTGCTGAGCCATCTCTCCAGCCCCATCCAGGCATATTTATGCATTCATTGGTTGATGGACATAGGTGGTTTCATTTTTTCATTCATTTTTTAAAATTTGATGGTATGTAGGCAATAGGATATATATAGGATGTTCTGGTCCAAGCTACAAACAAGTTTGGTTATCTCTCCATCAAAATCAGAAGAGAAAAAAAATGCCTGTTCAAGAACTTTAAAATGATTTACAGACATTTTGTTAGCCTGAGTCAGAAGTTATGAATTAGTGGATGACACCATCTAATGAATGAGCTTTTTAAGGATAGTTTGGACATCTAGAAATACATCTCTCTTTGAGATTGACAAGAATTATGATTCCCTTTCTTGTGTCTTTGGATGAAACTGGAAAAAGGGGTTTACTGGTCTGAGAGGAATTAAGCTGGATAGTTTCAGTGTCAATTTGACACACCTGGGTTGAGGGACCCTCAACTGGGGAATTGCCTTCATTGGACTGGCCTGTGGCCATGTCCATGGGGCACCTTCTTGATTGTTGAGTGATGTGGAAGGGCCCAGCCCACTGTGGATGGTGCCACCCCTGGGCAGGTGGGCCTGTGTTGCATAAGAAAGCAGGCTGAGCAGGAGCCAGGGAAGCAAGTCAGTAAGCAGTGATCCTCCATGGCCAGCTCTGCCTCCAGGTTCCTACCCTGAAGTTCCTAACTTGGGCTCCCTGATGAACTGTGACCTGGGAGATGTAAGACAAGTAACCCTTTCCTCCCCAAGTTGGTAATGGTCAGAGTGTGTTGTCACAGCAATGAAGAAACAAACTAGAACAGGAATCATAATCTATTGTGATATTTTTGTGTGTGTATGATATTTCTTTTGTGTTTCTATAGGAGAGTTTTTGTATTTAAGTTAATACAAATGTGATTTTTACTGTTATCACTTGTGCTGCAGTAGACTCATTCAAGTCATGGACAGGTTTAGTGACCTTACACAGCCTCCATCAGTTTATATGATCAGTAAATGACAAACATTGTCATTGGAATCTGCTTTGTTTCCTGATGTAACTCCTCACTATACTTCCCACAAGAATAGAAGCAAAAAAAAAAAAAAGTCATTTATGTATTGAATGAATATTAATGGAACATTTCCTTTGTATCAGAATTACTGTAGACAGTGATTTATAGTGGGGACTGAAATGACCTGATGTCTGCTCTCATAAAATCATAGAGTAGAAACTGGAACTGAAAATAATAAAAGTCTTGCATCATTACATTTGCATTTGCATTTTGCCATGGTTTTCAGCCCTGGCTGTATATCTAAATAACTCATCTAACTTTATGAAAATGCAGGTGTCTAGACTATAGCTTTGGAAATTCAGATTCAGTACATTTACAGGTATATTTAAAAAGCTCCACAAATCATTTCATTGCATAGCAGGTATTAAGTTCTAGTTATCAATTTATATATTGTGTTTTATCTGGATAACTGCTATGTATAGTAGATAGAATATTAATACACTGAAACCACAGGTTAAGAAACTCAGGATTATAAGTTCAGGTACTTTATAAGTAGTTAAATCCAGAAATTAAGTCCTCTGACTCTTTCAAGAGAGGTCTTTTTCTTTTTCTTTATTTTTTTATATAGACAGAATATACAAAAATAAATTGGGTTTGTCTTTTGTGTTAAGGATGAAGAGAAAGATAACTTATTACATTTTTTCCAAATTCTGACTGATTCTCTCTTCTGGCTATTGGGAGGTCATATTCAACTCATCCAGAATGGTAAGAGAAAAATATTTTAATATAACCAGTAGTCAATATACCACCAACTTTGTAAATATTAAAGGAAATATTGATAAAATATAAATTTCTCTTTTCTGTTTAGTCAATGAGATATCAATTAGTGATTTAACAGTTTGGGAAAATAATTTAATTTTTAAAATTACAGGTAGCATTTTATATCCAGCTTTAGATTTAGGTTGCTAGACTAGATATGATTTAACTCAATCTATGTAAGTAAGGACAAACTTAGAAAATTTACTAAACTTCAAAGTTATTTGATTAAAGATTTATTTTTACATTGAAAAATGTAAATATGTTAATTTTATGTTTTTTTAAGACTAAGAAAGTAATCTTTCCTCATAATCATGGCACAGTTATTCTTTTTATTTTTTAAGACGGTTTTCCTCTAGCCTGAACTCAAAAAGATCCTCCTGCCTCTGCCTCCTGAGTGCTGGGATTAAAGGCATGCACTACTACGCCCAGCTACACAGTTACTCTTTTGAAAAAATTTCATACCGCATAAATGCCACACTGTAAGAATGAGGGTTTCTTTTTGGGTTTTTTTGTTGTTGTTGTTTTTTAATTAGGTAGTGTATTATTTACTCTTCTTTCGCTGTGATACACACCATGACCCAATGTAACTTATAGAAGGAAGAATTTATTGGGCTTGTGGTTGAAGAGGGATAAGAGTCCATCATGATGGGGGAGACATGGCAGGAAGTTAAGCACACACATCTTCAAGCCTGCACAGAAACCAGAGAGAAACTGGAAAATGGGTGAGGCTATATACTCTCAAAGCTCACTGCTAGTGACATGCTTCCTCCAGCTTGGCCATACCCCCCTAAAGATTCCTTGATCTCCCCAAACAGCATCACCAACTGACCAAGTGTTCAAACTTTCATAGGTAGTAACTTGAACTGAATCTTTATTTCTGTTTTTTCCCCTTTAGAATTGTGCATACAACATAGAGTTAAATAGTTCTATAAGTATTGAAAAGCACAGTCCTTAGTGCTATAGCCCATCCCATGACCCATTTTTCTAAAGGCATCTACTTCCAGTTACTATAACTCTTAGTGATTATATCCATATCACTTAGGGACACTCCTAAATAATTTTCTATTTCCTATTATGTAACAAATGTTATAAATTCTCAGTTAAAAAAAAAAACACAAAAAAACTGTTAACCAAAAATATAAAAGTATTTAAGGACTGGATAAAGGAGAGAGAAAGGAAATACTTGAATAATTTTTAAAATATACCATGTTCCATTTTGAAAAGAACTATAACAAAAATGATAGTTTTCCTACGGCTAATAGGAAACCATAATGTAGGTATTAAAAGTATAAAAGCTTGGTGTGGTGGCACACACCTTTAATCCCGGCACTCAGGAAACAGAAGCAGGCAGATCTCTATGAGATCAAAGTCTGCCTGTTCTACATAGCAAGTTGTGGGTCAGCTGAGGCTACAGAGAGAGCCTGTTTCAAAAAGACCAAAAATATGTATATATATATATGTTAAATGATCATAAAACTACTGTGCAAAAAATAAATGTATACATCAAAAATGGAGTTTCTAACAACCCTTTCCCTATAAAGTGACTCACTCCTATGATGAAACCAATGACTATAGGCCAAGGATAGAAAGTATACAAATAGACTAAGTATCCTAAATACCAGATGTAAAGGAGGCAATCAAAGTTTATCAGGATTTTGTAAATGGACTCAGAAGGCAGCATAAAGAGGCTTCTGCTGGAGCAGATAAAATGGCTTAGCAGGATGTTTACTGCCAAACCTGACAACTTGAATTCAATCCCTGGAATCTACAGGTTGAAAGAAGAGAAAAAAAAAAATTAGAGACCTCTGCTAGCCAAATGAAGAAAAATTTGAGCTTTAATAATAATAACTGCAGTGGATTTAATCACACTCAGTTTTACCACCGGAGCCAGCTAGTTAATTGATTCAGTTTGTTTTTAACAATTAAGTGAGGAATCTAACCTTTAGTCTGCCTTACACATAGATGAGGAAATTTTTCTCTGAGTCTTCCAGCTAACAAATTTAAAAGGCATGAAGAATAACATCTATTTGTAACCCCTCATGAATGCAGATGTAGGAATTGATTAGCTATAGCTGACAGCATCTTAAAAAGAGAAAACTAGACACTAAGTGCTTCCTAATGGATTATCATAACACCACAGTTAAAACTTATGTGCCAGAAATTCAGACCTGAGTCATTTCTATCCTCTAATGCCAACTATCAATTTAGAGAAAATTAAAGGAACAAATTACACTTCAGGAATGCAGTTAACAGAACTAGACCATGAGAAGCTCATAGGACACTTTACAGGATTTTATTTTTCTTGTAATTTACAAGGAAAATAAAAAGGATAATCTATAATTTTAAATTTGAAAAATAACCACATTATCTGCCTCTTATTTGAATCTTGATTGAAGCAAACTTAAAAGTTCACCATACACTTAGAACTTGGAACACTTGTCTAATTGTTTGATGAAATTAAGAGGTCAATGGTTATGTTTTATTATTCAGCAGTTATTATTTTCAGGCAATGTTTGTTGAAATATTTATGGATAAAATAATTTGATGTCTTAGATTTGTTTCCAACTGAAATGGAAATGGATGGAAAAACAGAACAAATTTGGTCAAGCTCATTATTGTTAAGATTGATTAGTTTATGGGGACTTATTATCCTATCTGTTTTTTGGTATGTTTGAAAATTTTATTACGAAATAAATAGGTTTGTTTTTATTTAAATGAGTTCTAAGTTAAGTGATGTAGGACTTATTCTACCTAGTACCAAATAGCCTCTATTTTGAAAATCAGGAATTTTGTAAGGCAAACAATATAAAATATAAAATGGAATAATTGTTTAATAAATTAGCATAAATTTTTCCAACAGAGTAAAAGGAAAGGTTATATATGAACTATATGACTTATGATTTTAGTAAATTCCTACTTAATTCCAGAATTACTAATAAACATTTAAGTACATAAAAATGGAAAATACATCTTCTAATTACAGGGTGGTTTTTTTTTTTTTTTCTTTTCATATTTTGTTTTCTTTTTTTACTGTTTTTGTTTTATAAGACTGGGTCTCACTGTAACCCAGGCTAGCTAGCCTTGATCTCACAGAGATCCACCTCCTTCTGCTCCCTGAGTGCTGGGATTAAAGGCATGCACCATCATACCAGGCCCAGGCCCAGGGATTTTTTTTTTTTTAACTACGGAAGTAACAACATAAAAAGCCATAGAACTAGATTTTTTTCTAGGTTGTTAAACATTTGAAAAATGACATACAGTGAAATAATGGACTATACATAGAAATGATGAACAGGAATAATTCAGTGTCGGAAGGAAAGCAAACCTGCTATCTCAGGAAATAGAAAAAGAAAGAATAAAGTTATTTTATGAAAGCTAGAGTGATCACTGCAGAGCCAGCTTACAACATACCTGACATTTTGCTTTAGTTAGTCTTGTGTTCAGTTGATGCAGGGAATAAAAACTGACATTTATGGGGAATGGTTTTTTTCTAGTACATTATGTCTTAGCCCATTGTAAGAGTTATTTATTTCTAGATTCAGAGATGATGAAATAGAAGTTCTGGAAAATTAAACAACTTGCTTAAGTACTCAGTACCACATTTTTATAACTGGCTATTCAAAGCCTAAAAATTATAAACCAATAAAGCATTTATTCAACATTATGATTATTATTTATTCACTGAAATTCATTACCAGAAAAAGGATTTGAGTTTAGGAGATAATTATTTCAACTTAAAAAGAAGTAATAATTCTTTGCCCTGGTATTTATAGTTGTCCCCTTGACTATAACTTTATAAAAATGGATTGCCTATTATTTATGGCCATTTAAAACTGCCTAACTCTTAAAATCTTTTTATAGGGTATAAAAGGCCAGAAAGTTTAGCCCAAATGGCCATGCTTGATTTTCAAAAGACAAAATCTTATTTGCCTTATTACAGAGTCTTTAACCTTTTTTTTTTCTGTGTTCCTTTAGTACTGCAGAGCGACCATTTGTTACACTTACTACAAACTGACAATGTTCAAATAGGATCTATAGTCATGACTCTGCTACAGAATATACTGCAGATCAACAGGTGACTTAATTTACAAAATGGTACTGATTTTTGATTTTTTAATCAGAAGCATTACTAATTTTATTGCGGTTTTGCCAAAATCAGTTGCATATGACTTGTACCTGAAACTTAAGATCTAGGATTATCTCTTAGAAAAAGTTAATATAAAATACTGCAAAAGATTGGAAATTTTTTATCAAATTTATCTCAGAGCTACAAATCTTCAGCCAAATTTCAGGCTTAGAAAAGAGAATTGGTGTGATAGCTAAAGAAAAATATTAGGATCAAGGTCTATCTATGAAAATTGAAAAAAATTGCCAGGTGTGGTGGCACATGTCTTTAATCCCAGCACTCAGGAGGCAGAGGCAGGTGGGTCTCTTGTGAATTCAAGGCCAGCCTGGTCTACATAGTTCTAGGTCAGCCCCACTACAGGGAGACCCTGTCAAAAAGAAAATCTTAAAAAATAAAATTTTTTAAAAAGAAAAAAAAATTAGGATCACAATACAATGTTTAGTCACATTTGTTTAATAAACAACACAGTTGTAGTATATGCTAAAGAATAATATAAAAGAAATATTACATAATTCTTGTGGTCAAAAAGAATATACTTAGTTGAATAATTCATTCCTTAATATATGTTTATTCAGCAGGTATTATGTACCAAATACTGTGTCATTATATTTACAAAATTTATTCACCTATAAATCTTGTCTTCACAGAGCTTACAGTTGAGTAATTTTTATATTAACGCTCAATGAATATTTTTGAGACAAGATCTCCCTGTTCCCCTAGCTGACTTGGAACTCACTATGTAGACCGTGCTGGCTTCAATCTCACAAAGATCTGCCTGGAATTAAAGGTGTAATTCTAATTTTTTTAATACCTTACATTTCAAATAGCATCCACAGATAAGAAATTTATTAGACTTAAATTGACTTCAACCTTTTTAAAAATCTATTCTTCAGAAGACACTTTCAATGGAATAAAAAGGACAATTTATAGACTGGGGGGGGAAATCATTTTAAAGCATATATCTTAGTAAGTGCTTATATTGACAATCTATAAAGAGCTCTACGTTTAATACAAACAACTTGAAATGGACTAAAGGCATAGATGCTTAATGAAAGAAGCTATATGAATGACAAACACATGAAAAGCTTTTTTTTTGGATTTTAGAAAGGAAATGTTTATTGTTGTGTTACAAGGTGATTGTAAACTCCTCTAAAAAAAGCAAAGATGAATTTAAAATATCAATATACATACTCATCTAAAAAGCAAAAGAGAAAAAAACAAAACCCTGCAAAATACAGGGTCCATATCATAAAACATCAATACACAGAGCTTGTATACTGCGAGACTGAATTACAGGCCAAGGATCCTTCAAATATGAATGTTCCTCTGCAATTCATCTGTGCAGCTGAGTGCACATTGGTGGAGCCAAAGACTGTATTAAATTCCACCACAGGCAAGTTTCTTTCCTTGGTCCATTAGAACATGAGGAGGCTCATGTGACATGCACACAACATGTTGAGCAGGCATCTCTCACTTGCTGGTATTGAAAAGCTTTTTATGGAACCATTAATCAGTAAGGAGATAACACTACACACCCATTTAATATGGATAAAATTTAAAATATTAATCCAAATGTTAACAGGGATGTAAATGAGATAGCTCACTTATTCATTGCTGGTGGGAATATAAAATAGTACAGTCACTGTAGAAAATACTTTGGTCATGTCTTAACATGCCAGACATATACCCTACCATATATTTTTAATTTAAAAA